GGCGGATCGAGTATGGTAGGGTGGCGAGGTGGTATAGGCGGAGGTGCATGGAGGAAGAAGAAGGGCCCGCTGGATTGATTGTGGATCGAGTATTGACAAATCCAAAGGTTGGTACCCTAAAAAGAACGGTTGGGAGAAAATCAACTGAAATGATTCTTGTTTAGGCAACTGCTATATAGACGATCTTTTTTTAGCACATTTGACCAATCTCCCCGTTCTAGATGGTGGAGGCCATGTGTCGGCTTGATCTGGTAGGGTGACTGAGTAGCTGTATCGAAGCCTTATTCGTGTGGGATCTTCTAACATAGCAAGATGCATGGTGCTCGAGTAGGTTAAGCCACATCCCATCCCTTCATTCAATGTGGGAAGGAGTTGGCACAACATAGGCGGCCTATCGAAGGGCTCAACGGGGTTGATTGTGGGAGCAAGAGAGAAAAGTGACGGAGTCGATTTTGGCAGAACTCTAGTGGGGGTCCCGAGCCAGTAGCCTAAATGCTATGGTAATAAGGACACATGGTATAACTAGGCTCAAACTCTCTGAAAAGATAAAACCCTATGTCCTTCTTGTGTTGTATTTATTTGGATGGAGTACAAAATACATGTTGATCTACCACGAGACCGTCGTGATTTCATCTACAAGCCCTACCCCTCAGTTTATATAGGTACCAGGGGCCTGAGGTTACAATTAGGTTGGCTAGTAGAAGGTAAAACGTGTTGTAGACGACCTCTAATTCTGGGAGTGTGCTCCAAGTTGAAGGAAATATGCCCTAGAGGCAATAATAAAGTTGTTATTTTATATTTCCTTATATCATGATAAATGTTCATTATTCATGCTAGAATTGTATTAACCGGAAACTTGATACATGTGTGGATACATAGACAAAACACCGTGTCCCTAGTATGCCTCTACTTGACTAGCTCGTTGATCAAAGATGGTTAAGTTTCCTAGCCATGGACATGTATTGTGATTTGATGAACGCGATCACATCATTAGGAGAATGATGTGATGGACAAGACCCATCCGTTAGCATAGCATAAATGATTGTTCAGTTTTATTGCTACTGCTTTCTTCATGTCAAATACATATTCCTCCGACTATGAGATTATGTAACTCCCGGACACCGGAGGAATGCCTTGTGTGCTATCAAACGTCACAACATAACTGGGTGATTATAAAGATGCTCTACAGGTATCTCCGAAGGTGTTTGTTGGGTTGGCATGGATCGAGATTAGGATTTGTCACTCCGAGTATCGGAGAGGTATCTCTGGGCCCTCTCGGCAATGCACATCATATGAAGCCTTGCAAGCAATGTGACTAATGAGTTAGTTCGGGGATGATGCACTACAGAACGGGTAAATAGACTTGCCGGTAACGATATTGAACTAGGTATGAAGATACCGACGATCAAATCTCGGGCAAGTAACATACCGATGACAAAGGGAATAACGTATGTTGACATTACGATTCGATCGATAAAGATCTTTGTAGAATATGTGGGAACCAATATGAGCATTCAGGTTCCGCTATTTGTTATTGACCGGAGAGGTGTCTCGGTCATGTCTACATAGTTCTTGAACCCGTAGGGTCCGCACGCTTAACATTTGATGATGATATGTATTATATGAGTTATGTGTTTTGCTGACCAAAGATTGTTCGGAGTCCCGGATGATATCACGGAGATGATGAGGAGTCTCAAAATGGTCGAGAGGTAAATATTGATATATTGGAAGGTTATTTGGACACCAGAATAGTTCCGGAGAGGTTCGTGTATTTTTTGGAGTACTGAGGGGTTACTGGAACCCCCCCCCCTGGGGGGGAGTAATGGGCCTTATTGGGCCATAGGGGAAAGAGGAGGCCCCCCCTGGGAGTCCGAATTGGACAAGAGGGAGGGGGCGCGGACCCCTTTCCTTCTCCCTCTCTCTTTCCCTCCACTTCCCTCTTTCCCCCTCCGTTGGAATGGAAGGGGTCGACTAGGACTGGGAGTCCTAGTTTGACTCCCCCCACTTGGCGCGCCCCCTAGGGTCGGCCTCCTCCCCTCTCCCCGTTTATATACGGGGGCAGGGGGCGCCCCAAAGCACAACAGTTGTTTCTTAGCCGTGTGTGGTGCCCCCTCCACTGTTTATTCCTCCGGTCATATTGTCGTAGTGCTTAGGCAAAGCTCTGCGCGGATCACATCACCAACGCTGTCACCACGCCATCACGCTGATGGAACTCATCGACTCCTTCGTACCTCTACTGGATCAAGAGTTCGAGGGACGTCATCGAGCTGAACGTGTGCAGAACTCGGAGGTGCCGTACGTTCGGTACTTGATCGGTTGATTAGAGAATACGTTCGACTACATCAACCACGTTAAGTTAACGCTGCCGCTTTCGGTCTATGAGGGTACGTGGACACACTCTCCCCCTCTTGTTGCTAGATAGATCTTGCGTGAGCGTAGGATTTTTTTTGAAATTGCATGCTACATTTCCCAACAATGGCATCCGAGCCAGGTCTATGCGTAGATGATATGCACGAGTAGAACACAAAGAGTTGTGGGCGGTGATCTTCATACTGCTTACCGCCAATGTCTTATTTTGATTCGGTGGCATTGTTGGATGAAGCGGCCCGTACCAACCTTACATGACCGCGTTCATGAGACCGGTTCCACCAACAGACATGCAACTAGTTTTGCACAAAGGTGGCTGGCGGGTGTTTGTTTCTCCAAATTTATTTGAATCAAATTTGGCTGCGGTCGGTCCTTGTGAAGGTTAAAATAGCAAACTTGATAAATTACCGTTGTGGTTTTCGTGCCATAGGTATGTATGGTTCATGCTAGAAGCACGTAGTAGCCACATAAAACTTGCAACAAACAAAGTATAGGACGTCTAACTTGTTTTTGCAGGGCATGTTGTGATGTGATATGGTCAAGGCATGATGTGATATAAGATTGTTGTATGAGATGATCATGTTTTGTAAAAGTTATCAGCAACTGGAAGGAGCCATATGGTTGTCGCTTTATTGTATGAAATACAAATGCTAAGTAATTGATTTACTTTGTCACTAAGCGGTAGCGATAGTCGTAGAAGCAATGGTTGGTGATACGACCACGACGCTACGATGGAGATCAAGGTGTCAAGCCGGTGACGATGGAGATCATGACGTTGCTTTGGTGATGGAGATCAAAAGCACAAGATGTTGATGGCTATATCATGTCACCTATTTTGATTGCATGTGATGTTTATGTTCTATGCATATTATTTTTCTTAGTACGGTGGTAGCATTATAAGATGATCCCTCACAAAAATTCAAGGTATAAGTGTTCTCCTCGAGTATGCACCATTGTGAAAGTTCTTCGTGCGGAGACACCACGTGATGATCGGGTGTGATAAGCTCTACGTTCAAATACAACGGGTGCAAGCCAGTTTTGCACACGCGGAATACCCGGGTTAAACTTGATGAGCCTAGCATATACAGATATGGCTTCGGAACACTAGAGACCAAAAGGTCGAACGTGAATCATATAGTAGATATGATCAACATAGTGATGTTCACCATTGAAGACTACTCCATCTCACGTGATGATCGGACATGGTTTAGTTGATTTGGATCACGTATCATTTAGATGACTTGAGGGATGTCTATCTAAGTGGGAGTTCTTAAGAAATATGATTAATTAAACTTTAATTTATAATGAACTTAGTCCTGATAGTATTTGAAAATTATGTTGTAGATCAATAGCTTGCGTTATAGCTCCCCTATGTTTTTTGATATGTTGCTAGAGAAAACTAAGTTGAAAGATGATAGTAGCAATGATGCAGACTGGGTCCGTGATATGAGGTTTATCCTCATTGCTACACAGAAGAATTGTGTCCTTGATGCAC